TTTGTGGAAACTCAGGTCAAGTAGGGCTTGAACAGGGAACTTTATCTGGAGTTTAGTATCTGAGAAGAAGACTCTGGGTGTTTTAACCATCAGGAAGCTGTCGGTCACCTGTGAGAGACCACATGTGGACCCAGGCGTGCTCGGGAGAGGTGGTGGACACCACGAGGACAGTGGTTTTCAACTGATCTGTGTCCTCTGTCCCTCTGAACACTGGGATCTGTCGTGGTGTCTGTGAAATGCCTGTGTCGGCATGGATCTGAACACCGTCCCCAGAGGCAATGTCTGGTCCTCGAGCCCCGGCTGGGGCTTGGACCCGCCTCTCACCTCCCTCCTCAGGTCCCAGCCAGCCCACTCGGACTGCTCAGGGGTATGGGAACGTGATCTTAAACATGAGCTTTAATTGGTCTTTTATATCATTTGTGACACCATATAGAGTTATCTTGCTTTATATTAAAATACTCACTTGAAAATTGTGGTCCATAAAATGCCTTTTCTAACTGTATTATTAATCATAGCTCAGACTAGCAAACCAACTGTAAGTTTTTCTGATTATTCTAAGGAAAGTGAAGCTGAACAAAGCAGATCAAAGCCATCACAGTTAACCTCCTAATTATTCGGCTCACTAGTATATTTTTTTAAGATATAGAAAAACAGGGGTCCCCTTCTAAATTTGCCAAGACATTAACCTTTCCAAGTAGATTGATTAAACTGTAGTGCGGTTACTCACCACACTGGGTAAAATACATATTTATATATACCATGGATTGCTTGCATTTTTTTTCTCTCTTTGGGATTTTTGCTATTTTTTTTTTTTTCAAGGTAGGTATAGTTTCCTAATACTTAGAGGAACTGAGAAATGGAATGTTATCAGGGTATGATTTCCTTACCAGTGAGAAAAGTTTAAGCATTTTTAGTCTGGTTTGAGACAAGCATCTCCCTAATCATTGAAAGCTGCAGAGTTTAAAACATGGGTTTATATTACAGATATTGTCTAGGAGTGGGGATTGGGGTTGTCTGTGGTATTATGACAGCATATGCTTTTTTTAAAAAGTGCTTTAGACCTCCTGCCAGACACACTTCTGTCTGGAGGCCCATAGAGTGAACACGCCAGCAGCACATTTATGATTACTTATGACTTTGTTTTTTAATTTATTGAGCAAGTTTTCCTGCAAACTTTTTTTTTAATTTGCTAAGAAGGGAAGTTTATTTTTCATTTCTAAATTGCTGACTTTTGTTTGTTGATGTCTATAAAACATAAGAGCAGTATAGTCCACTATGGTAAAATAGAATTGAATTTGTGACTGCCAATTTTCCTGTAAATTGTCTTTAAAATTTTTTTCTGGTTTAGCTATTTTTTTTTTCTGTAATAAAGTGGAAAGATTTCCCTTGGTCACTAGATTGTTGACAAGTAAATCATTTTTGGTATCATGTAGCATTCTTTGTTTGAATATGGCACATGTCCTTTTACTTGTGTGTTGCTTTTAATGTGTGAAATAAATGATTTTATGGTTATATGGAAGGGAAATGAGTGGTGGACTAGGAGACAAGATTGATTGGCAACCGCATTTCCCTATACAAATGAGTTTTATTATAAACTAATAGTGAAACCAGAGTAACATTTAGGAATAATCACAGACAGCCCAATTCTCTGAAATGTCTGTTTGGGTAAAAAGTATGTCAGTATGAGCATGAGGATTTGGGAATGGACCTTGAACAGCACTGCACTTCCTGGATCAGCATGGAGAGTGAAGAAACCACTAAGATTCCATCAGAAGTAGTTCTTTTAACAGCATTGTAAAAAGTTAGTTAACAGTATTGTTTGCTTTGTTCTTTAATAGTCTGTTATGGAGGGTGGCTAAAGGGCCATCTGCAGCAAAGGTGTGTCATCCCAGTTGTTGTAGGTCAGTGGTGACATACCCAGTGTAGAAGGCTGGACTCACAAACAGAGCAGCGGGATAAGTGAATACATAACACTCAAACTCATGCCATCTGTGTTTTCCACCCGGGCTGTGCTACTTGATTTGTGAACCAGTGGATGAGAAAAAAATCACTGTGGTATCTGAAGAAAAGTGCTTTGGGACCATCCAAGATCAGGGTTTGAGGTTCCAAATGAATTCTGTGATTTATAAGCTAAAACTTTGGGTATGAGTTCTTTGGTCTGATCATGTGTAATCAGCAGATAATACATAAATGAACTTTATATTATAAACACAATCAAAACTTTGTTCCCTTTTAATAGCTGAAAAGTTTTTCCTTTTTAAAATGTAGCATAGTTTTAATCTTAAAATGATTTTTCTCGGCATAAATTACTTATTTGCCGTGATAGTTTATTCTTCCTTGATATTTCCTGCTTTCTCCTGGCTTGCAAATGGGTTGTTAGTAATTTGTACTTATGTCTCATAGTTACTTGGAAAACATACCTACTTTTTAAACTATACAAATCATTACCTTTTATGCTTTCAAAAAACATGTTTGAAAATTCCTTTATCATCAAAGCCAAGACTGAAGCCATAAGCCTAGACTCCATTATGTGCCAAATTTAGTTCCCTTTTCCTTTTCTTGCCCCATTTAGTTTTCTGGCCATTATTAATTTCATCTGAATTCATTAATCAAAATGTTGTCCCCCCCCAAAGCTTCTAGGAAGCTTCTAGCTTCCTCTAGAATATATGACTTATACAAATTTTACTTTTGCCTTTTAGATGCCATTTTATTATCACCATTTTATTTGTTAGTTAGTCTTAACTCCGTTTCACACTGTATCCAATGAACTAATCTCAGTTTTGGTTCCTCTTGGGTAATGTTTCCAAGAGGGAAGTCTAGGGTACCTCTCAGCAGTTTTTCTAGGAAGAGGGATATATTTTCTGGGCCTCATATATTGTGTATCAGAATGTCTTTTGGTTACCATTCATTTTGTTGACTGGAATGACAACTTGTTTGGGAACAGTTTTTGTGTTGCAACTTTTCTTAAACTGTTGCCATTTTGTTCTATTGTTTTCTATCCCTAGCTTCTGGAAGAGAAAGCTGAAACCATCCTCATTTGATTATTTTTAGGTTATCTGATTTTCTGATGGCTGTGTCCAAAATAATTTATTGTCCTTGAAATTCAAGAACGTCCTGAGGTAATCTTTAGGTCTGGTTCTCTTTTGAGTATTCTTGCCTGGAACAAGATGAGTCTTACATACCATCCCAGATATGTTCTCTGGGTTCCCTTTTGCCATGCCTTCATGCAAGTGTTTACATTTCATTTTTAAATCATTTATTTGCAGACTGGGCTTCTGCTTTCTAATCTCCATGTTTACTTTCCTCTCTTAACACCCTCAACTTTGTTCTCTTTTCTGTGTATTCTGGTGGAATATCTGAACTCTACCCTTCTTCACTGGAGATGGAAATGGCAACCCACTCCAGGACTTTTGCCTGGAAAATGCCATGGACGGAGCCTGGTAGGCTACAGTCCATGGGGTCGGGAAGAGTCAGACACGACTGAGCGACTTCACTTTCACTCTTCACTTTCATGCATTGGAGAAGGAAATGGCAACCCACTCCAGTATTCTTGCCTGGAGAATCCCAGGGACAGAGGAGCCTGATGGGCTGCCGTCTATGGGGTCGCACAGAGTCGGACACGACTGAAGCGACTTAGCAGCAGCAGCCCTTCTTCATACCTGATTTGATTTTCTCCAATGTCAGTTCAACTCATCATCACCTCCAAAGCAGGTTTAAATTATGATTTTTTTCTACTTCCTTGTAATCTTTCATCTAATCTCCTTTCATCCATCTCTATTCATATATTACCTGCATTCCAACTACTTGTTTTATCTCATCCTGAGCACTCCTTGATGCCTTTTGTTTTTATTTCCCGGAGAACTTATAAGACTTAACACTTAATAAGACTTAATAATTAAGTTATTATTAAGAACATTCTTTTCTACATTGTTTGTGCACTCAAATAGTAAGAATAGCTGTCATTTTCTGAGTGCTTAATTTTTACCACAAAGGAGTAGTGTGAAGTTGCTCAGTCGTGTCCAACTCTTTGCAACCCCATGGACTGTAGACCACCAGGCTCCTCTGACCATAGGATTTTCCAGGCAAGAATACTGGAGTGGGTTGCCATTTCCTTCTCCAGGGGGTCTTCCTGACCCAGGGATCAAACCCAGGTCTCCTGCATTGCAGGCAATCTCTTTACCATCTGAGCCACCAGGGAAGCCCATACTATACTAAATACTTTCCAGACATTTTTTTTCTCATTTAATCCTTAGGACACTCTGCAAGGAGTAATTATTATCCTTATTTTACTCATGAGGAACAAAGCATTTAAAAATACTAAAAAGTCCAAGGTCAGACATCCCAAAATTAATAAATTGAAGAGTCAAAGTTTAAACCCAGGATTCTCTGGCTCCAAAGCCCGTTTTCCTTACCTCACTATACTATCTTATCTATAAATGACTTTCATATTTTAATAAAATATTCAAAAGAATAACACTCCCCTTTTACTGAAGTTTTTTTTTTTTTTTCCACTGCCGCATTTTCTCTGTCTTCCAGTTCCGATCTATGTCTTCATTCAACCTTGTAATGAGAGATCACTGCAAATGCGGGTCCTCTTCCTGTCCCTACGCTCCAAGTTATGAGCAGTCTGTAGGCCAGTTACAGTGGTATTTGCCCCCTGGAGACGTTGTGTAGTTGAATAACAAGGGCACCGGGTTTGAAATAATGGAAAACCCAGATTCGAAGCCCACTTGTGCTATGTGGCAGCCGTGGACAAGTTACTTAGCCCCTGTTACCGTGTCAGTGTGCGTGTCGGAGGACGTGCCGCCCCAGGTGAAGTCCCTGCCACCGTCAGCACGTTGTTGACTGCGGTGGGTGGCGGCCTGCGGGCCCACCCGCCCCAGCCCAGCCCGGGCGCCGCGCACCCAGCGGCCATGAGCCGTCCACGTCTCAGGATGCACCGCCGCACTGGCCGCGTGTTCCGCGTCCCAGGATGCACCGCCGCACTGGCCGCCTGGCCCGCGTCCCAGGATGCACCGCTGCACTGACCGCCCGGCTCGGCTTGGCGACGGAGCCCGGTCTCAGGCCAGAGAGAGAAAGGTGCGGAGAGGGTGTGGCTCGGGGCCCGCGGTGCCTCGAAGGCTGAGGTCAGTCAGTACCGGTCCGGTCCCCGCGCAGGCCGTGTCGGGTCCTTGTGCGGACGCAGGTCGAGGCCATGCCCTGTCCGCCCGTGAACCGTGTACCAGGCAGGCCCCTTGCCACGCAGGTCGAGGCCAGGTCCGGCCCTGGCCTCCGGCAGGCCGTAGCCCTGTCCAGTTCTGGGCTGAGTCTCCGCCGTCTCGCTGCAGCCTGCCTGCCGGCTTTGCAAAGTCGGTTAGACTCGTCCCAGGACTCCAGTGCCAAACGAGTTTCCCTCTTTGTCTTGCCCTCATGGGTTTTTGTGAATTGCTGGGTTAGCATCTTCTCACTCAGGTGACTAGGGGTCAAGCCCACATTTCTGCGGAGTTCAAGGTAAGGGAGTCCGGGAGACTGTCCGGAAGTGGACTCAAGGCCTAGACTCAATTCACAGACTGCTGTGCCCTCTGTATCCCTGGCCAGTACTTCTGAGGGGGCTTCGTTTTTCTCAGGTGAAAGTTATTATCCCGGTGTGACTTTAAGGAGACTCTTAATTATACCCCTTTTTTACTCTAAAATGCAACCAAATGTATCAAGGACCCAGTATATGTTTACACCCGGTTGTGAGATTTGGGGGCTGGGACCTCAAAGATGAAAAAGGCACCCATCCTGTTCCACATAGTCATAGCTTGTAGGCCTAAATCACCCTATGATTTTTGATGTTTATTCCAGTTTTTCTTTTGCCCCATCAGAAAATGGGGGGGTAAAAGAAATCATTAAAATTTAAATCAACTGAAATGGGGGAGGTGGAATGTGAAGTTGTAGAAAGGGTAAATTGATCCACTTAGGTTGGTTTGCCTACTGTAAATTGTGCCTTATCTTCCATTAATAGTTCAGTAAACAAATTTAGTAGGTCCAGACCAGCATTTTTTAAGATTAGAATAGACAATACAGTACATTATAAATAGTATGGATAAGTATTGTTTTGTGAAACTTTGAGTTGAGCATGCATGCTCAATTGTGTCTGACTCTTTATGGCCCCATGGACTGTAGCCCACCAGGCACCTCTGTCCATGGGACTTTTCAGGCAAGAATACTGGAGTGGGTTGCCATATCCTCCTCAAGGGGATCTTTCCAACCCAGGGATTAAAGCTGTGTCTCCTGAGTCTCTTGCATTGCAGGCAGACTCTACCCACTGAACCACTGGGGAAGGTTTCAGTTATGTATATTTAATAGGTATATTTATACTAGGTTGTGATGTAAAGTATACTTATTGTGGATTACATCTTCAAAATTGTTACAGGTTTAGATCAGGACAAATATGTTACATGTATAGAAAGTAACTTTGCAGTAGTAATAATTTATCTTGATATCAATTATTTGCAAAGATTGAAACTATGAAAGAGTCAAATGGTATTTCTGCCCTAATTAGCTCCATGCTTTATAATTACTTTACATGGTATTAGCATGGCATGTGTTTGGGTATCTGATCCATCACGTTCACTGTAGATCGTTGCTGATGTGTAAGGAATGGAATGGCAAAATTGCTCCAATATATGAGATCAGTCACTCTAGTTGTTGCTGATAATAGAAGCCACAAACCATCATTGTTATGGCGAAAATATGCATGATTTATAGGTTATGTCTGTTGTTGCCGTGTGTGACCATATGAAGATCTTTGCTTTACATTTTCCCTGCTAAAATTCAGTAATGAAGTTAAATAATCCGAGAGTTTTCTGGTCTGTCCTAATTATGATGTTACTTTTTCTAAAAACTTGATGCAGAGCATATCTGACGTCAAAGGGGTTTTGCTATTGAAAGATGTTTTTCTTTTCAGCTTTGATAAGAGATTTTTTTAAATTTTTAACTAAAATTTAAAGCTCTTAATGGTTGTTGTTGTTCAGTCACTAAGTCATGTCCAGCTCTTTGCAACCCCATGGACTGAAGCATGCCAGGCTTCCCTGTCCTTCACTGTCTCCTAGAGTTTGTTCAGATTCTTGTCCATTCAGTCAGTGATGCTTGCTATAATAATTATTTTTGCATTTTATATTTGTGTTTATTTGTTGACTAGTTGGTTGGTTGATTTTTATTTTAAGGATTTAGATAACTTGAAGTTTGGACTATAGTTGTTGAAACTAATTTATTCTCTGTGTATAATTTATTCTCTGATGTGTCTGTCCGACATTTAATTTTAACTGGCTAATATTTTATTTTGCAAATGGACCTTGCAAAGAGTGTACCGTCATCAAGCAACCTACTTTTTTTAACCATACTTAATGGTAACTGCTATGATAGGAATTCCACAAATGTATGAATTAATGAACACTATAACTATAAATTATTCATATAAACATTTGGTGATACATCTTATTAGTTTGTAGCAAAACAATTTTTATACCTGATTTATTTTAAGAGGAACTAACATTTGGCAGTTTTATTCCAGAGAAATGATAAGGCATCTATTTTAAAAAGAGATAAGTGAATGGAAATCATCCTGTCCTATTGGACACTTTGAAACCACACCCAACAGTGAAACAAGTAAAGTGATATCTAAATTTCTATTTCAAAACCAGCCTAACAGAAAAGAGGTTAAGAAGGCAGGGGATTGTTTTACCTCAGTTGAGATCTCAGTAGAAACTTGTGAGGGACACTTTATAATCAGTCTGGTATGTGCTATTTTGCTCATATCCCTTTAGTCTCTTCCAAAGTGTTAGACTCCAGCATTCACTGTGTAGTTCAGTTGATCTGTTAATAGAGCAAATGACTGCTGACATTCAGGGAATGTGCTTGCCTTTTCCAGCAATAGCCAAAGTTTGAGATCCTTAAGTAGCTAGAGAGCAGGGACCATCGCTGCCTTGTTCACTGTGATTTCCTATTTTCAGGCACATAGGAGGTGCTCAATAAATAATTGTTGAAGGAATGAAAATACCATGGAAGGAGGAAGAGCAGCAGCAGATGGTACATGCAGCTTAAAACATAGGAGGAAAGAGTATTATCAGATCCTTAACTAGTATTTACTGAGGGTCTCCTATGAACCTAGTAGTGTTTCTGGGGTGAGATGTGGGCTCACGGGCTCTTTCCAGCTTAGGGGAGGCAAGGAATATACTGATAAATTTGAGTTACAAGAGGATTTTTGTGCTGTACTGTTAAAGAATGGGACTGCACATAAAATGTGCCTGACAGTGTGACTTGGATGATAAGTGTAAAGAGAAAGGTTGATTCAAGTTGCTTTGAGAGGCACTGTTTCCCAGAGGAAATGGGTGGGGCTTGGATAAGGACGGATGGCAGGCAGGGCATGAGCATAGCCACTGGCTCACCCCAAGGGGAGATTGGTATTAGGGGACAGTGGGGAGCAAAGTGGGACAGGCTGCCTGGGGGTCATATTTTGGAGAAGAGACTAGGAAATAGACAATTATGGAAGTTAGATTTCATGTAACCAGCATAAAGAAGCTGTAAGTTCTGGACCAAGGAAGTATTTTGTTGAAGGCTGTGTTTTTAGAGTGCTCTAAAGGAGGAGCTTTCCCTCAGAGACTAGAAGGGGACAGAATACTGACCCCAGGACTAGGATTTCAGTACTACTTTCAGTCACATCACAATGTTCTAGTCACTGTGGATGCTTTGGTGGCACAAAAGCAACCAATGAGGGGAAATGCATTTGTCCTAGAACTTCATTTTAGGAAGGTCTGGAAATGACCAAAAGGTGTCCACACCTGTGCAACAGCCACAAACCCACACGTGCTTAGTCTCAACCTCAAACCTGGTCTATGTTTCTAACGCCCTGTGGAATAATAAAGTCAAATAAGGAGAGAGAAGTATGAATTCTTGTTCTTGGAAATGAATCTTAGTTGCTGATATCATGAAATTTAGTCCAGCTTATGTTTTTCATAAAGGACTTCATCCTGCCTTTTAAAAACTTGCTCCCAAGAATTCACAAACTGAAGAGAGGTGCCCATCCTTGGTGGTCTCAGGTTGCCAAGCACATCTTCTCTTGGTTCTTTGTTGGCACATGGTGTGTAGGGTATGGGATAAGAGGGAGAATGCAAGTGAGAGGGAAAAGATAGACAGGAAGCTCTTGAGCTCAGAGGTCTCACCTTCCTCTTTGTGTTTCGAGCAACTTATTCAATTACATGTATTGAATGAATGATGACTGGATAGATAAGGGGCATTTTGTTTCCTGATTGTCTTGTATGCATAACATGGTGTCAGTGGCCCAGATATTTATTCAAACACTCATCTCCTTCCTACCTCTTTCTTCACACCTGTTTGGTGCTGGTGCAACTCATAAGGTATATGGAATATGGAATAAGGTATATGGAATGCCTGGCACAATGTTGGATTAAGGGAGTGTAGATGTTAAAACTACTAATTCAGGCCTTCACAGACTGGAACAATCATGGGGTTAATGATTTTGAGGATGAAAAGTTTATCTGCTAACTCCAGTCTGTTTCCTGATTCCATACTGTGCAGTCTGAGCTCCTCATTTAAAATCCATGGCTTATGCTTGCATGCACAAAGGCTACGTAGTAGTAAATTTTGAAGTCTGTCTCCTCTATGGTCCCAATGTGCGCCTGGGTAGAGCATATAGATATACTCGTACCATATGTACATGTGTCCATTTCCCTCTGCACTCTTTATTATAGGGTTAGTGAACAATACTGCTCATCTCTGTGAGTATGCATCTATATCAGTTTGGGAAGTCACTGTGTATTTTTATTATTGAGATCCTTAGATCCTTCAAAACACATAATGTTTTATGTCTGGCACATAGTATGAACTCAGTAAATGCATGCTAAGTGAGATAATGAACAAATACTCTGTTCAGAGAATGGTCATGGGTGCTACTTGAAAACTTTATACAATCCTTATACTCAAGATTTAATTGGAGAAACTAAGTCTATGTGCAAAAACTAAAGTCTATTATTAGGAATAAACATAGGAATAAAGCATATAGATTAAATATATTAATAATATTGGTTATTATAATT